ACGGCGACGGCGGTGTTGACGGCGACGACGACGACGACGTTTATGGCCATGACGACGGCGACGACCGACGACGACGACGACGATGGCGACGATGCCGACGACGACGATGGCGACGACGACGACCGACGACCGACGACCGACGGGCGACGGCGACGACGACGACGACGACCACGACAACGACGACGGCGACGACGACGACGACGATGACGATGGCGATGGAGACGACCGACAACGACGGCGACGACTGACGACGACGGTCGACGACCGACGGCATGGCGACGGCGACGACGACGACGTCGGCGACGGCGACGGCGACAGCGACGGCGACAGCGACGGCGACGACGACGGCGGCGACGACGACGGTGACGGCGACGGCTACGGCCGACGAACGACCGACGACGGCGACGGCGACGGCGATGGCGACCACCGACGACCGACGACGACGAGGACAACGGCGACGACGAGGACGACGACTTCGACGACGACGACTTCGACGACGACGGCGACGGCGACGGCGACGGCGACTTCGACGGCGACGGCGACGGCGACGGCGACGACGATGGCGACGGCGACGTCGACGGCGACGGCGACGGCGACGGCGACGGCGACGGCGACGGCGACGGGTCAGGAAACGGTGACGGTAGACGACCGACGACGACGACGACGACGACGACGACTACGGCGACGGCGACGGCGACGGCGACGGCGACGGCGTCGGCGACGGTCGACGACCGACGTCGACGTCGATGACGACGACGACGACGACGGCGACGGCGACGACCGACGACCGACGACCGACGATGGCGACGACGACGACGACGACGACGATGGCGACGGCGACGGCGACGGCGACGGCGATGGCGACCCCGACGGCGATGGCGTCGGCGACGGCGATGGCTACGGCGATAGCGACGGTTGACGACCGAGGACGATGACGACGACGACGACCTCGACGACGACGACGACGACGACTACGACGATGACGACGACGACGACGACGGCGACGGCGACGACGACGACGACGTTGACGCGACGACGACAACGACGACGACGACGACGAGGACGGCGGCGACGATGAAGATGACGAAAACATCGCCTCAGGCGGCGCCAGTGCCGCCTTCGGCGCCTCCGTGGCCGCCGTCGTCGCCGCCGTCGCCGCCGTCGCCGCCGCCGCCGTCTTCGTTGCCGTCGCGGCCTCCGCCGTCTCCGCCGTCGCCATCGTCGCCGTCGCCGCCGTTGCCGCCGTCGCCGCTTCCGCCGCCGACGCCAGCGCCAACGTCGCCGTGATCGCCGCCCCTGTCGCGAGCGGGCTCTGGCCGCAGAGGTGCGCCACGCTCACCGTGCTCTCGGCCCTGGCGGCCGCGTGCGCGGGCGCCGGCGGTGCGGGCCGGTTTCCGCGGCCTGGGCGGGCGCAGGCCGTTTCCGCTTTGCCACGGAGTCGTTTGGGAATCGCTTCTCTTCCTCCTCCTTCTCCCTCCCCTCCTCGCTCCCTCCCTCCCTCCTTCCCTCCTTCCCTCCCTCCCTCCTTCTCTCCTTCTCTCCTCCTCCTCCTCCTCCTCCTCCTCCTCCTCCTCCTCCTCCTCCTCCTCCCTAGTGCCCAAGAAAGAGTCTCCGCGCCACACTCTAGGCACGCCCACTGGGCTTCTCCAGGACGGCGACGAACAGGTAGGAGAAGGCGTCCACCGGCCTGCGGCCAGACCAGCGTCGGCCCAGCTACGCCGCCTCGGCGGCCCGAAGCTCCGCCGCTCGGCCGGCGCCGTCGGCGCCCAGCGTGGACCAGAGCTGCCGCGCCGTGGCCCTGTGCAGGGCGACGCTCAGCTCCCGGCCCCAGCGGCTGGCCAGTCGAGGAACAGCCGGGGCCAGTCCGCCCGCTGAACCTCGAGGTCGAGGATGGCCTGCTCCCTCTCCGCCTGCAGTGCTAACTCCTTGCACGCCCTGCTGAGCCCTGGCAAGCTCTGCTCAGCCCTGCTAAGCTTTGTCAAGCCTTAAGAAGCGCTGGTGAACCCTGGCAAGCCCCCAAGCCTGGATAAACCTTGCCGCGCTCAGACCAGCCCCGGCAAGCTCTGCCCTGTCCTGCTGAGCCTTAGTAAGCCTTGGTAAACCTGGCAACGACCAGCTAAGGCCTGACAAGCAGTGGCAAGCCGGGGTAAAACGTGCTAAGCCTTCTCTCCGTCTGGGTAAGCTTTGCTCAGCCATGCTAAGCGTTGCTGAGCGTTGCCTGGCCTTGGCAAGCGTTGCACACTCCTGGCAACCCTTGCGAATGCTTCAGCTCGACTGAGCCTTGCTAGAGCTTGGCAGGCCTTGCCACGCCTTGGCAAGCACTGCCATGCCCAGGTCAACCCCGCCAAGCCCGACTGAGCCCTGCTGAGCCCTGGCAAGCCTTTGCTTTGCTCTGCTGAGCCCTGCTTAGCCGACCGAGCTTGGTAAGCCTTGGCAAGCCCGGCCATGCTTGGCAAGCCTTGCTATTCCAGCCTTGGCAAATTTTGCAAAGCCCTGCTGC